TTAAGGACATTGCCTTTGCGTGTCTCCTTCTATATTTTCTCCTTTCTTTTCGTCCCTGTGTATGTGACTTAAGTAGTTTCGCCGCGTATAATAAATTTTCTAGTTTAAACTCATTTATTGCCCTCGTCGAAAGGATGAAAGAATGGATTGCGGGCTGAGTGGGCGGGCCTAACGATTCCGACTCCTCCCAACCGATGCCATATAATGGCCGTTTGTTGTATAATTTTCACATTGTTTAGTGTCCCGAGCCAGAAGTAACTTCCGCTTCTCGCACACACAGCCATGTACTATACCTCCTCTTGGGTTTTTATTTATGATATATAGATTACTCAGCGAGTTGCTAAAGTAACGGGCAAAGAGCTTTTTCCCGGGGTAAATACTTCCCATTTCAAGTGACTCTCGCGAGAGGGGTGGGGTTAATTACGCTTGAAAATTATAGGCTACGGGGAAAATGTCTTAATACGCAAGGAATTAAATTCGAAATTCGAGTGGAGTGTTGGGGGAACTTTAACCTTATACGAAGTAGTCAAATGGAAAGCTGGTGGAATATTTGATTATGAGGTAATTTGGCCCCAATTATAATTTTGAACCAATGAATTGTTACATCATTTGTAAATATCAATAAACTAGAACTAGATGTTCCGTTTTATTTTGAGGTAATTGTTATTTACCAATATATGGAAACAATAACTAATATTTAAAAAAATAAATTTTCTAAATAAAAATTCTAGATGAATATATGGTCTATTCTTAATCGATACTTTTGTTAAACATTTCTTTGTGTTTTGTTTGTCAGAAGGTTAAGAATTTGCCCATTTTCCCATCCGACTGATAGAAATCAATCGCCTCCCACTCACCTGGCAACTAATTGGCACACGTGTCCCCCACAGCACATCTAATCAAGTAATCAGGTAGTCCATGGCCTCCACCGTGCTAATTGCATCACAGCTAATAAGCTGAAACTTTGCCTCACGGCGCAACTTTTGCCATTGCCCACATTTTAGGGGGCCATCTGTCCGTTGGTCGAACCGTGCGGCTGATGGGCTCTTATGGCAGGGATCAAATCACCTGGCCAGGCCACAAAAACCAGTCCGCAAACGGCTTTAAATGGGACCTGGCCTTGGGCAAATAAATGCTCTGGATTCTGTTCGATTAAAGGAGGTGTCTATCTATCTTGATCTCTGGCTTACATCCTATTTTTGTGTACATTGCGAAGAAATGGTAGTTGTACTCATGCATTAAAGAAATAATAAAAAGGTTTTTGATCGTAAATAATCGTATTAAAAATTTAGGGGCTTACCATCTTTTGTATTTTATAAAAATATTTTTTTTTAATTTTTAATTTATAAAAATAAGTTAATGTAATCAGTTTCGAAGATATCTTTCATTTAAAAAAATGTGCTTGAATGTTTGATTAATTTATAAATAAATTGAGCCGGAAATAAAATTTAGAACAAGACTCTGGGATGAAATATATTCACGGAATAATTTTCTTACTTTTCCGAAGGTATACAAATTGTAATTTTAATTTTCCAAATGTATTCTTGTTTCTGCAAGGATTCCGTAGCCAGTGCCGGAATCTCTATTTGCGATCTGGCCCCACAGCTTAATTTCCTGGCGCAAATATCAACAAGGCCAAGTGAGATGCGCCGCCAAGATGAAGCCGGCATCCCTAAAGCGCTCTAATGAAATTACAACACAGCTGTAGGGATGTTGGGGCATTGGTGGCCTAGAGTGGCGGAATGTGGCAGCACAGCTCGAGCGGAGTCGACACAAGACCCTGTAAGCCAAAGTGGCAGTGGGAAGTCAACTAAAACTAAGCTCGTTTAATGCGTTGCATAAGCGACAAGCGCGAGCAGGCCAGCAAACACAGGCAAACAGCCACAGACACACATTTATTCCACCAGACAGACAGACAAACAAACAGGGAACACCTACGAACCGGAAATGGAGACAAGAAGAAGAACAGGGGCCAAAAAGGAAAAACAAGTTCTCGCGCGCACGCCGGCATTTGCACTTTTACGTTTATCCCGAGGATAATTTAACACCCCATACAAATGCAAACAAATGAGCGCAATCCCCTTGACATCCCCCCACTTACATACACACATACTTACGTATTCCAGTTAAAGGAAGAGAACAAAAAAACAACATTTATTTACTTGCAAGTAATACCCGGTAATGGGTTTTTAAAACAAATCCGCTGCGGGCCTGTAAATGAACTCCTCTCTTTCCGTCTGGCAATTAAATTTCAAATATCAACACACACACACAAAACATACACACATTCGCACCAAGGGAAAGTGTCATTATATAGTTAATTAAACAAACATTTTGTGCAGATAAAACGCTTTAATTAATGCTCTTACAGGACTCGAATAACCTAGCAGAAGTTCGCATTAAATCTACCCCGACAACCCCGAAAGCCCTCGAAACACCTGAAAAGTATGCAATGAAAATTCTTTTCGTGCCTGTGTGGCTCTTTTCTGCCATTTGACGTGGGTCATTTTGGGCTACTGGGTGGGTTTACCGTTATCTATGAATGTGGCAAAAAATAACTGGGACTGAACAAAAATGTAATCTACCTTATTATAAATCAAGGGAATTTTTAAAAGCATCCCAAATATGTTAAATCAAAATGTAGTTTTTAAATATAGTTTTCATTTACATATTAATTTAATTTAATTCTAAAGGTAAAATAACATTCTTATTTTTAACTACATTTCTGATATAAATTGTTTGCCTTTTAAATATAATTTAAATTTAATTTTGCAGACAATATATTTTAAGTTAGAACCCTTGAAAAATGTTCCAGTTTTAATTATTTTTCAGTATTTTTTTTTAAATTAACAATCTGTAGGTCACTTCCCCTTCGACCCCAATCCCCACACTTAATTTACCTCTTTATATTGCCTTTCTTTTATATATATTTCGTCCACGAGCTGTCGCTGGGCGTGCGATTTTTCAATATCCGGGCGGAACATAAATGACCACTTTGATGGGCTTGCTGCAGAATCCCGTCCTTCACTCCACAAAAACGGAGACCCCATGCCGTGTGACACATGGTCTCGTGTTGACGCGCCATAAAATATGCAATGCATGCAGTGTGTCAGCGTTTTAACCGCCCAACCACCCAAAAACACCCCACCCAACACCCATCGCCCCACCTGATTTTATTCTCCAACCCCCATAACTCAGACGGGGGTCGCGAGGGGACCAGGCCAAAAGTCATTTCGTTTTTTGTCAGGCCCATCGCACAAAACTATCAATAATACGCCACGCCCACGAGCAAGCACCCATTCCATAAGAGATATATATAAATATATATATACGATGTACAGGAGCAGTTTCGGCCCAGTGGAGCACCACATTCAGACATATATAAACTGTTTTGCTTTATGACTTTTATATGCAGCCGAGCGGTTGCGGGGGCACTTGCAAATATTTTTAATATGCTCCGTCGAATGTGTTGTGGGTTAAAAAAATAAAGGAATAAAAAAGCGCTTACAATGGCGCTGGCTCCATTGGGTTTTTTACGTGCGCTGGCCCCTTAAATGGTGGAAACACCGCTTGGCATATTGAATAAAGTGGACAACATTTTTGCCGAAGGATCTGATCGGATCGCTGGGTTTTGTGGGTTGGTCACGAGCTTGGTTTGTTTAGCTTTAAAATCCACTAAATGGCTGGGGCCAACAGGATGTGGTGGATGCAGGATCCAGGATGCTGGTTGGCAGTGTATGCAGCAGGATATACGCAAAACCAAAAACCGACATTTGGTCCGCATGCATATGCATTCTCCATTCTCCTCGTCCCGCCCGTAAAGAGAAATGCACAGAGACAGACATGAAATTCAATCAATTGGAAATTCCATATCAGTGAAAATATTTTAATATTTATGCAAAATATTTACGCACAGGCTAAGGGAGTAGGAGCTGTAGTAGAGGTAGTAGCGGTAGTAGAAGGGAAGGATATTTAGCAGGTTTACCCAGCGAAAATAATAATATTGAAATTGATTTTATTCATAAGGACGTTGAATATTTATGCAACCGTGTTCAATGTAATTATGGCATTTGTTGTGTTTTTTGTGCAAGTGCTGCTGGTTATGAAAATGGAAATGAAAATGAATAACGAATGGCATAGGTAAATACATATTTATATAATGGAATGCGAATGCGAATGGAAATTAAGCAGCTAAAACCTACGCTGAGATTTATGTGATATTTTTTTCTTGACAGAACAATCTAAGCTTATCTCCCAAGCCAAAACCAACCCGAGCTTATCTATCGGATGCAACTCACGTTCTGGCTTTGGAATTGCAATTGCAATGCTATGCTATGTCACCCATTCTATATGGCCTGTCATAGCCAACCGCTTTTGACATCCAGCTGTCAAATGCAGCTCTCTCTCGCTGCACTTCTCCAATCCAAGAAGGATTTCGTTTGTCTCATTTGCCCACACCCTCAATGAATGTCACATTTGACAAGCACTTTCTTTCTTTCTTTCTCCTAACGCCATTTTTGTTTGCCATGTTGTTTCTGGTTTGACAGTTATGGCACACAGATATCTTACTCTTTTCTTATTGCCATTTGTGGAAATAATCTTGTCGGGGTTAGAAAAAAATACTTGAGTATATTGCATTTATAAAAAATAGTTTTTAAAGTTCCAGTTTATCATTTGGTTTATATGAATCTTATTTCTTACCTTATTTATTTCTTTGTTTCAAAGTTATTATCGTATGTAACCTCGTGAAGGAAATATTTGTAATAGGCTATTTTCGAATATATTTCAAAGAATTAATAATATAAATTATAATGTTATTAAATTTAAATGAATAAATATTTATTTATACAATTTATTTTATATATAAATTGGAAATTAATTAACCTGATTTAGGGAATGTTGTTAATCGGTTAATTTCAGATTTATTTCAAAGGAAGAATATTAAATTTTAATTAAATAAATATTTTTACTTATACCATTATTTTCCCTTTTCCTTGCAGATACAAAATCGAAGTGGCGGGCAAGAGTCTGCCAGTTCTCACCAATCTGGATAAGGGCCGCTATGGCGTGATTGTGTTTGAGAATCTGGACAAGTACCTCAATATGGACAAATGGAATCGGGAACTGTTGGACAAATATTGCCGCGAGTACTCGGTGGGAATTGTGGGCTTCGTGAGTCCCAGCGAGGAGACTCTGGTGGGTGCACAACTCCGGGATTTTCCGCTGTTTGTCAACACCAATCTGAGGCTGCGAGATGCCAGCCTGAATCCCTCCTCGTCGGTGCTTCGATTAACCCGAGCGGGGGAGACGGCCTGGGGTGCCTTGCCCGGCGATGATTGGGCTGTTTTCCAGCATAATCACAGTACCTACGAGCCAGTGGAGTGGGCTCAGCGAAACACTCAAGAATATCCAGCGGACAGTGTGGGCCAGGTGCAACTACCGCTGACCACCGTTCTCCAAGATCGCGGACAGTTGGACGGCATACAGAGAGTTCTCTTCGGAAGCAGTCTGCGTTTCTGGCTTCATCGCTTGGTCTTCCTGGATGCCCTGAGCTATCTAAGTCATGGACAACTTAGTCTTAATCTCGAGCGTATGATTCTAGTGGATATAGATGATATATTCGTGGGTGAAAAGGGCACAAGACTGCGACCAGACGATGTTCGAGCGTTGATAGCGACGCAGAAGAATATAGCATCCATGGTTCCGGGCTTCCGGTTTAATCTGGGCTTCTCGGGGAAGTACTATCACCATGGCACGAGGGAGGAAAATCTCGGCGATGATTTCCTGCTGCAGAACGTCCAGGAGTTCAATTGGTTCTCGCACATGTGGAAGCATCAGCAGCCCCATTTGTATGATAACCTCACCCTGCTGATGGCAGAAATGCACTTAAACTACGCCTTTGCGGTGGATCACAATATACCCACAGATTCGGGTTACTCCATATCACCACATCATTCGGGCGTTTATCCCGCCCATGAACTACTGTATCTGGCCTGGAAGAAGGTGTGGAATGTCAAGGTTACGTCGACTGAAGAGTATCCCCACTTGAGACCCGCTCGCCTGCGAAGGGGATTCATTCATCGCAATATTATGGTGTTGCCCAGGCAAACTTGTGGCCTCTTCACTCACACCATGTACATTGATCGCTATCCGGGCGGCAGGGATAAGCTGGACGAGTCGATTCAGGGTGGCGAACTCTTCCAGACCATCGTGTATAATCCCATTAACATCTTTATGACGCACATGTCCAACTATGGTTCGGATCGTCTGGCTCTGTACACATTCCAATCGGTGATCAAGTTCCTGCAGTGCTGGACCAATCTCAAGTTGGCCTCGGCGCCGCCAGTTCAGCTGGCCGAAATGTATTTCCGGCTGCATCCGGAGGAGGTGGATCCCGTGTGGGGTAATCCCTGTGACGATGTGCGGCACAAGAAGATCTGGTCAAAGACCAAGAACTGCGAGTCGCTGCCAAAGTTTCTGGTGATTGGTCCCCAGAAGACGGGCACAACTGCTCTGTACACATTCCTATCCATGCACGGCAGTGTTGCGAGTAATATCGCCAGTCCGGAAACCTTCGAGGAGGTGCAGTTCTTCAACGGCAATAACTACTATCGGGGGCTGGACTGGTACATGGACTTCTTCCCCTCGGAATCGCTACCGAACACGAGTTCCCCGATGCCCACGCAGCTGGGAGCGCCGCGCTTCATGTTTGAGAAGAGTGCTACCTATTTCGATGGCGAAGCTGTGCCAAAGAGAACCCATGCCCTGCTTCCGCATGCCAAGATCGTGACGATTCTGATATCGCCGGCCAAAAGGGCCTACTCCTGGTACCAGCATCAACGCTCCCACGGCGATGTTATTGCCAATAACTATAGTTTCTATCAGGTAAGTTTTTATTTATCATTAGTTAAAAATTATACAAAAAATAATATACCTTAAAGTATAAATTAAAAAAATACATAGATGTTAGTATCGATATTATCGATTTTTTCGATATTTTTTAAACGTTTTATACTTTTGTTTTGTTTTTAGTTCCAAAATAGCTTTACATTTAAATCTATAATAATAGTACCTGTTCTAAACAGCATTTGTTTTCCTTGAAAACAGATTTATCGATACGATATTGTAAAAATATAGATATTTTTCAAGCTCTAAAATAAAATATACGTATTTTTATTACATACGAAAATCCTTCTTATTCCCACTTTGAACTCTATTAAAAACTATAATTAACTCGCCCCATTGCTTACTGTGGCAGAACAAATGCCGCCCCCTTGATTGATATCCATTCGATATGAAGTCGAGCGAATACAAATTCCCCAAATTGCAATTTCTTATCTCGCACTGTGGGGGAAAATGAAAAGAAACATTTAAGCAAATAGGAAAATTCATTTCGGTTTACCTCAAAGGAAAATCGAGAAAAACAAAACAAAAGCAAAATAAATGCTGGAAAATCCTGTTTTAATTCGAACAACTTGTGGGACTTATGCTGCTCCATTGTGGCAAGTATATAGTAGGTGGAGGATGTGACCACCTTCTTTCGTTGATTCTTTGGCACATTTCATTTGAATTCCATGCCGGAAAATTTCTATTTGCACCCGAGCTTGTCCCACAAACTAACACATGTACGAATGCCTCAGATTACTCCACCAGCTTGCTCTGACATGTGTCCAGGTCCGGGCCAAGGCACTCAAAATTCGTTGCCCACTCCTTGAATGGCCATGTGCGAAAGCTTGTACACTTTGAATAAAAGGGGGAGAATAAAGAATTCACTAGGGAATTAAGACAAGATTTATTTTTGTATGGAAATACTAAATAGGAGCTTAAATTGAACAGGGAATTATTGCAGTTGCCTTACATTTTGAAAGGAAAATGTATAGCAAAGAATTATAATTATGCTCTATGGGAATTATTATTGAAGGAAATAAATAGCTGAACAAATAATAATTAAAATATAATAACTCCTGATATTAAGGATTATTTATTATCCTAATCTTACAAAAAAAACTATGACAACCCAATAATCAAAAACATTTATAGGCATTATTTCTTAATTATTTTATTATTTTTTGTATTAGAAACATTGTCTATAAAAAAATTAAAAATCTTTAAAACGGTGATTAAAAGTATCAATTGAAAAAGTTTTATTTAAGATAATATTTAAGAAACTTAAGGAATAATAATATTTATAAATTAATTCTAACTCTAATAAAAAAGCTACATTTTCTTCTGGTGCATATGATTTTCATGTTTTGAAATAACACTGATTCCACGCCATTCCACTTGTATTCCCCCTCCACTTGAACAGGTCATAACGGCCAGTGACTCGGCACCCAGGGCACTGAAGGATCTGCGGAACCGCTGCCTAAATCCCGGCAAGTACGCCCAGCACTTGGAGCACTGGCTGGCCTACTATCCCGCCCAGCAGTTGCACATCATCGACGGCGAGCAGTTGCGACTGAATCCCATCGATGTGATGAACGAGCTGCAGCGCTTCCTGAAAATCCAGCCGCTGCTCGATTATTCAAATCACCTGCGATACGACGTTAAGAAGGGCTTCTACTGCCAGGCCGTCAGCGAGAAGCGCAATAAATGCCTCGGCAAGTCCAAGGGGCGTCAGTATCCGACGATGGATGAGCGCAGTGCCAAGCTGTTGCAGCGGTGAGTAAAATCGAAATTTGCCCCGAAAAAAAGGTGGGAAGGTGGGAAAATCATGAAAAGTTCGAGCCATCAGTCGTTGTGAGTGGGGCGGAGTCGTCGGTGTGAGTGATTTGGGACAGACAGGAGGACCAAGGACGAAGGAGCAGGAGGAGCAGCACACAGGCAGCTGCTTTGAGTGAAGGATTAATGAACATATGTGGGCATGGGTTGTGGGGACAAAACTCCAAGCTTTTATTCTTTTTCTGGTTTTTTCTGTTTGTGTGGCGTGAAGAAGGGTATGTGCCACTTTGCGGCCGCTAAAAGTGCACTTTGCTGTACTGCGATTTCGTCGGTATGCCAGCTGTTGTCAGTTGACAAGGAAAACGATTTGCCGGGCGGGGGATTTTTCTAGGCCAACAACAGCCACACGGAAAATAAACGGAAACGGAAGCGGAGAGATGGACAGATGGACTACACTCATAGAAATTTTCCGGTAAAATCGCCCTAAAAACAGGGAAAATCGCCCTAAAACGGGGGTCAATGGCGACTAGGCAACAAATCTAGGGCGAATCGCCATAAAAATAATACCAAAAAAAACACAAAAAAATCAATTAATTTTTCAATGATGGGGGGGGGGGTTTGTGTGTTGATATTTCCTGGGAACTGGACTCAACACATACACACACACACACACACAGACACGAACATCGTTTCAGATAATTTGTTTGTTCAATTGTCGCTATATTGGACGTTGCTGTTGGGGGCAGGAGGCAGCAGACTTGTATTACCGCCGGTTATAACTGAAAAACCATCTTTGTAATCGAATTAAGGAGATATATATAAGGAGAAAAAACAACTTACTTGAGAAAAACATTAGGTGTCACTACGAGGGTTCGAACCCACGGCCTCCCGAGTTGGAGTCTAACGCTCTACCGCTGCACCACAGTTCCATCGCGCTATGCAACGTACAAACCCTGTACACATCTTATTTTCTTGCGGTCTAAGTTATACAAACAAAAAATTGTATTTTTTTGCTGGTGACTGGGATACTTCGGGCCGTTTCCTCGCATGCTTAACATAAATTAGTCTTTAAACTCAGAATGTCCATATGTATTTAGGTTTTTAAGACTACTTTAAATTTAACACGCGGACGAAAAAACTTAATTAGTAATAAAAACTGTAATAAAAAAAAAAAAAGTGTTGACTCACACAGGAATCGAACCCACGACCTGTATTTTCAAACAGCAAAGCTGAAAGTGCGAGTGCTTAGATCGCTGGGCTACCCATTCTTACTAACTTGTCTTGACCTGTCAACTACACACACGTACATAACATGTTTTACATGTATGTATCCATTTATTGCGTCATAAAATTTCGCCCTAAAAAACAGGGCAAATTGGCCTTTTTGGAAAAACTAACCCTAAAAAATATTTTCCATGGCGATTTTTCGTATATTTAGGGCTAGCCACCCGTATAATAAGAAAATTTTTCGTAGCTTTAGGGCGACCGCGGTTTTAGGGCGACTTTTCTAGTATTTAGGTAAAAATTTCTATGAGTGTACTTTGTGAGGCATTCAACTGGAGTAAATGGGAAATATATCAGGGGAGTTGTGGAGTTGGATGGCCAAATAAAAGTGTTTGTAAGCTGGGGAAATTTGTTTCCTGACGAGATTTCATGTGGATGTGGGCTAAGAAAACGATGAAGTGGAAAGTTTATTATGGAAAATAAGAATTGAAATTGAAGTTATATTCTTTGGGGTTTCACTATAATACCCATATCTAAATCGCCTCGCAGACAAATCTGCTTTTCGGCTCTCAGGCAAAACCAAATGGTTTATAAAAACAATCAAGAGACGACGCGAAACTGAAGTAAAATATTCAAAAACTTAGCTAACAAAGAGGTGCTGCCAAGATAAGTCCCTCCTGTCGATCTGCATATTTGTTCTGACTTTGAGGCGGCGGCAAGCGATTTGAAATTCTAATTGCGCGCCACCACTTCTACGTTCTGCGTTCTTCCTGCATTTCTGATGGAACATTTCTCTGTTTTTTTTTCTTCCGCTTGCAGATACTATCTGAATCACAATACGGCGCTGGTGAAGTTGCTCAAAAAGCTGGGCTCGCGGCCAATACCGCAATGGCTCAAAGACGACCTGTCCACGGGCACGTGATAGCAGCTGTTTGGCGGCGGCGGAGGAGGCGGCAGCAGCATAGGAGGCATCAAGTATCGCAAATTGCGGGCAAAACTCAGGAAACAGTTGCGTTGGCTGCATCTGGCGGCCGAAAGTGCGGAGAGCAGCGCCCAGCGACGACGACGTCACAACTGACAGGATGAAAATGAGGCGAAAACGAAAATTCGATGGAAAACCCATCAGCAATGTTCCAATTTTCACGTTCGGCAGGCTTTTGCGTTGGCGAAAATAGACACGAATTACTTGATTTTAAGTTTGATTTAAAATGTTCTAGATTCATGCCTGTATAAATTAAATATTAAAAGATTTTCTTTAAAAATGTTAATTAAAGAAATGTATTGTTTTTAACACCTTTAATATTATTTTGTATTAAATTGTCAGAATTACTTTTAAAATATTTAAATGAAAAATATGTAAGGCCACAAATATTGTAATTCCAGCGAAAAAGCTTGCCGAAAGTGAAAAAGAAAAAAGAACCGGCTTACAAACAGCTTAAAAACAGCTGCTGTAGAAAAAAGATAAATTAAGAAGGGAAAAAATAACATAATTAGTCGCTTTTAACATGCATAAATCTTTTTTGTTTGTTGCTATTGCAGCTAATTAATGTCACTGCAGTTGTCAGCTAAAGTTGTACAGTGTGTGAGTGTGCGTGCGTATCTGTGTGTGTCTGTTTATCTGCGAACATTGTGTAAATAGGCGTGTGTGTGTGTGTATGCTTACGCATTATAAATTATCATAAATAATATCATGAGGCATCATGAATAAATGCATAAATGCGCTTTGTTAGTTGTTTAATGTTTATTAGTTGGTAATGGCGAATTAAGCGCCTAATTAAGTTTACGCATAATCCAGCACTTTCGTTATTACCTCAGACACCGCGATTAAGCTCTCCGCATCCTAAAGACTCGATCAAATGACTTTTGACAACTCTAAACACACATAACTACATATGTACTACTATTCACACACGGCAGCCGCAGAAACTCCTGTGTACTTTAAACAATTTTAAATCCATGCCAAAACTGTGAGTTCGTTCCAGCAGTTAACGAGTGCTACATAAATAGAACAGATATACATATATATATCGGAATAGTCCTACGTTAAGCATAAGGCTGCCTCTATTCCCTAAGTGTATCATAGATGTTTTTAGCCTCTAAGCCTAGTGAGTAGACCGAAAATGCGCTTGTCACAGGCCTCCATGTAAAACTGTAAAATTCTAGTTGTATTTTTAACGCAGCACTAAGCAAAGCTCTATTGTATAGTTGGATATATGCGTAACTGTATGAGACCTAGTTCAAGTTTAGATTGGTAATGCGACAATAATAAAAGCGAAAATTATTGCAAGTGTAAAATGAATGAAGATGTTTTCTATGGGAAAAGTGGAAAATTAAATATATTGTTTATCGTAGAAATTTGGAAATTAGTTTCATGTCATCATAAAAAAAACCTTTTTCAAAGCTCAATGAACTTTTTTTAAATTTAGACAAAAATATTTCTTAACTTTATTTGTCTCATTTATTTAATTTTTATTTGAAAATAACGTTTATGAAGCAAGCAGTGCATTTACCGAATACACACTACTTCGTTAGCAAGGACACCCTCCGCGGTAAGCGAAGACACGCTCGACGATTAGCGAATTCACCATTCATATTCATAATGGTGTATTCATTGGGTGTTAATCCACCACAGTCAGCAAGTACACTTACGCTTAGCAAAGTTCGCCTCCAACAGAAATCATCGATATCTTTAGTTCAAAAAGTATCAAAAATCCAAAATCTTTCATTCAATCTTTATTTTATAGTGGTTTTACAACTTCAGTTCTTATTTATATTAACTACAAATATTTTGCAGTCGTAACCGTATAAGTATAATAGTAATTATAATAACAATCGAGAACATTTTTTCCAGTTGAAACGGTGCACATTGACTTCAAAGTGTATCAATCATACGCACCGTTCAAAGTATGTCAATCATACGCACTGTTACCGTTTAATGTAACTGGCTTACACATCGTATGAGTAATTTTAACAGAAAACTTGAACTAGTACACCAAAATATGTTTATTTAAATGGAGTGGGACCACGTTTCTGCGAATTTTCCTCATTTTCAGATACCGTTATATTTAACAGGCTTACACATCGTATGAGTCATTTTTATTATTCAGTACACTAAAAATATATTTAGTTAAAAAGTGTGAGACAGTTTTTTTAGTTGCCCACTATTCCATATATATTTTTCCATGTTTTAATTAAAATAAATTTATTAATAAACTTGTAAATATTATAATTAATCGCTTGTTATGTATCCATTAGCCATTTTATTCATAAATGTAATTCAATATTTTCAAATTCATGTTTTGCCGCCTTCTAGTCAGAGAAAACAGTGAAATCCCAAGCAAACAGTCGATGGTTGCTGGGAACACACCGATAGTATCGACGCAGAACAGCTTTTTCTTCGTGCCTTTTACTCAGTTAATTTTTGTAGCTCGTTCGTGACGGTTGTGGGTGTCAATGTTTTTTAATTTTATTGACAACTTTAAATATTAAACTTTAAATACTCGCTATTTGACATATATATTCTTTAAAATATATACTAATTTAAGAAAATAACGGTATATTATAAATGCTTGCCGCGTCGATTTTGAACTAAAACCGAAAACTATATCTTTAAAAAATACAACTAGATAGCTATAGCACGATAAAAATAGCACGTGCTAACAGGTCCTCGGGCAGTTAACGACAGTTGCAAAAAAACGAAATATTAATTACATCGCGTGTTTATATAGCCGGCTTAAAATATAAAAAGTTGTGGGCGAAGAGAGTGCGAAGAGAGCAAAAGAGAGAGAGTGCCAGCCAAAGGCCCAGTAAAACGCCGCCTTGTTAATTATTAAATTTCCAGAATATATATCTTTCCATATATAATTCTATTCCGAGTGATAATCGTTGGGTTTTTTGCCCTCTGCGCCGCGTATGAAAAGTTAAAGAAGAGTCGCTGGCCAAAAACCGGTAATTCTCTCCGCCCCTCCTGTCCAAAATTCTCCCTTCCTCCTTTTTGGCGCCCGTTCTTACTTGTTTTTGTTGTTACTTGCGGCTTGTTGCATTTTCCTTTTTTCCTTAACTCACATACTTTTGTTTAAGCAATCAAAAATCAACACAAATCATTGGCAAAATGTTTTGTGAAATCGAAATTTTTATTGTTCTTTATTGTTTATTTGTCGTGAGAGTCTTATCAACTTCGGAAGGTTCTAACGGTGCCTTTGGAATCTCCGATGATGAAAGAGGTAGCGCCAAAGTATCCGTTTCGAATAATTAATACTCGGTTCGTTAGTAGAATTTCTAAATTTGAGTTTGGATGAGAGGTCGTGCAAAGCCTTCCAGTGATTAAAATCTTTTGTATTTATTTTCAAACAAAAAAAACGCAAGTTGGGCGTCGATAAAAACCAAGAAGTTTCGATATTACTCATTATTTAACCCCCTCCATAACCGGTGTTTTTGTGATTCACAAAAAAGAGCAAATAAGAGTATTCAGTGTGGTGTAGTGCCCAGCTGTTGAACCAGTTCCAGTTAACCCGGCGAATCATGTCCAGAAATAGGGCTGCCATGGTCAGCGCCTTCCGGCTGTTCCTTCGACCCTCGACCACCACCACCCATCGAAGTCTCGCCCTCCGTGTGGCCCCCGTCACGACCTTTGCACTGGTGAGTACTTACAATATACAAAGTTTCTCTATAGTGTGGGAATACCTACTACGACCACTACTATCTGGGGAAGTCGCGCTCCGGGGGAGCAGATGTAGCTGTTGCCGCAGTATCGGATCTATAAAAATACACGCACTTGTTTTACGAATGTGAATAAGCGCATGCTAACAGCAATGGCTGAGATTATAGCACCACACGTCAGAAAGATTTGATTAATGGTTTAATATATCACTAGTGTGTAGGTCAGTTTTCGGTTTTTATTAACTTTAGAAATTACCTTTTATACATTTTATGGATACTAGTCAAACTAAAAGTATAAATAAATAAAATATTTTATAGAAAAAATTTTTGATTGTAATGTATTTTTCAAACCTTTGATTGTAATGTATTTTTCAAACCTTACCAGTTTAATAAAAAAATGTAATTTTCTTTGTATTATATTTTAAAGAGTTTCTTCAAAATCAGGGCTTCTATAATTGTGATCCCAACTGTCTGTACACAGATGTAGTTCCGAACAGTCGTACTTATATAGAAATACCCAACATGCGTGTCTTGTCCATTTTCTTATGTGTGGAGGGCACATTTTGTGTTTCAAATTATTAAAATTTATGCAAAGAACCAGTCTGAAAAATACAAATTAAGCTTACACATCTACATGACATACATATGGCTCTCATTTCTCGTGCTCTCCTCCCCCTTTCTCTTCTCTTTTTCGCCCCATTCCCTTCTTTTTGGAGCTAAACTCCAACTTTATATGGAGTTTCGCTCTCTCAATAATTTACTCCACTGCTCTCTCTCACTCACCATTTCTTCTTGTTGTTGTTTTTGCACCTGCGCGAAAAAAGGCCAAAGCAATAACAACAAAAACAGCTGTCAGAAATGTTTATCATCACATGACATGATAGATGGAAGGGGTGGGCGGCCCAAAGGGGGAGGGGCGTTGATACATAGATGAGTGATTGTGGTTATTTTTTTAGAGAGCGACGTTTGGAACAATTAGCACTCGCTATGGCATCCCAGTGCTCATTAAACTGTACGTCATTGATTTAATTAATTTGGTTGAGTCACCTCAGTGATGCTGCTTTCGATTTGTATTTTCTAACAATTATCAACGGAATTGCTTATCAGTTCAACTCCCAAGCTGAGTTAGTGAATCAGCCAAAGCAACTAAACCGAGAGTACAATCAAAAAGTACAGTAAAACTTCGCTGATGAATATTTGACAGGTCTTAAAAATCAAGAATTAAATTTTGAATATAAAGATTTAAGATTTTCATTTAAAATTTACAAAAATATTTAAAATAATAATTTTAATTATTGTTCTAGTTAGTTTTAAAGTAGTATCGAAATCAAAACCTTTAACTTTTTTAATTTTTGGACTATTATTTAATTTACTTTGATCCCGAATATTTAAAAAAAAGACTAAATCTTATGTAAAAATATAGAATACTTTACCTAAGTACCTAAAAATGAGTTATTTTCTTTTAACTAAATTTTCAGATAATCTCGATAAGGATCCGCCTAATAGACTTTCCACTGTAAGAGACTCATTCAACC